CAGAGAAGATCCATCGGCGAAAGCGAAACAGAGAAAGCGTGACGGAGAAGGAGCGCAACCCACTAATAGGCAATGGCATTGGGCCCCAACGATGGATACTGGACACGAAAAATTTTTGGTCCATGGTCTCTTTGAAAACCTGTCTAAAGCCCAAGAGCACAAATTGGGCCAGAAGATTTGATCACCATAATTGAAGAATTCAGGCCCCACAGTAACTAATGGCTCTACCAGAGATAAACACTCAGGCCCACAGAATTTGTTTGCAGGGAACCTCCATTCCCTTGCTCCAACCGACAAAAACCAACATTTAGTTTTTTCCCTTACAAAGTTGATAGGTTTTAGCCCCTCACCTTATAATATGACAGTTTTAGCTCTTTATCTTATAAAGTTGGTAAGTTTTAACTTTTCACCTTACAAAATTGGTAGATTTTAACCATTTACTTTATATTATGATATTTTTAACCCATTACCGATACGAATTAAAGAAAATAACCCTCACCTAATATCATGTTATAACGTTTTGTTAGTTGACTATTAATATCTGTTAGCATTCCGTTATAAAAAATATGAAATTTAAATTCAATTTTATTTGTTAGTTTCATTAATGGAATGCTAACGGATGTTAACAGTTAACTAACAGAACTAACAATCAGCTAATAAAACTGACAGTCAACTAACAGAACTGACAATCAGTTAACAGAATTGACAATCAGTTAACAGAACTGACAGTTAGTTAACAGAACTGACAGTTAGCTAACATAACTGACAGTCAGCTAACAGAACTGACGGTCAATTAACAGAACTAACAGTCAGCTAATAGAACTGACAATCAATTAACAGAACTGACAGTCAGCTAATAGAACTAATAGAACATTAAAACATAATATTAAATAAGGGCTATTTTCTTCAATTCGTATAGATAAAGGATTAAAAATGTCATAATATAAGGTGAGAGACTAAAACCTACCAATTTTGTAAGGTAAAGGGTTAAAACTTACCACCTTTGTAAGATAAAGGGCTAAAAGTATCATATTATAAGGTTTGGGGCTAAAACCTATCAATTTTGTAAGGTGATGAGCTAAATGTTGGTTTTAGCCACTCCAAACTAGGTAAATATAATCGGATTTTAAATAAACAGAAGTGAAAATTAGGATATATCTTGGTATTTAAAATATCAAAATTACTTATGAAATTATTTAAATATTTTTAATGAATTTTCCTTATGTGTTGACTCATTAAGAATATTTAAATTTTTTTTATTATCATTCTTGGTATTTTAATTGTTAGAATAGTTAGATTTTCCACAATTCCTTTTGAATATAAAGATTAAAAAGAAAAGAAAAGAAACTTGAGAATTGCTCGATGCAATTATGACATTTAGTGAAATAAAGGGTTAAAAGGAAATATACATATAAGCTCGGGAAGAACCCTCATGTGGTTCTTGATTTCTTGCATTCAGTTATCATGTATCATACTCTCTCTTGCTTTTACGATATATATAAATTATGGGCTCATGAAGTTGTTGATATATTGTTAGGGCTAAAATTAACCAAATTAGTCCAAAACATATGGGTATGAGGAGAGAAGAGAGGTGGTTGGCTTAGGCTCATAGATGGCCCTAAACATCAATCATGACAAGTGAATAAAGGGAAGGGCCCTTTTTTTCAATCTCCTTTGCTCTCAGTCTCACTTTTCTATATGTACTTCAAAAAGAATGTTTTTAATTGTAGGTCTCAAGTGTGCCTAAAGATTAGTGAAAGGGATTGCTTGATCACTCCCATTTTTTTGGCCGTTGATTGCTTGATCCGGTTGGTCATGTTGAAAATTTTCTCCTCATTTTGTTCAAACAAAATTCAATCTCAAGGAGGTTTTAAGAACAATTCTTTGCAAATATGTTAGTCTACAATGAATAGCCCTTTTTTTTTTTTTTTAATTACATCCTCCATGCATATAAATTAGTTCAAAATACCATATAATCAATCACACGTTAATTATCCTCCTCTAAAAAGGAAAATGAAATCTAATATTGGAGACCTATATATATTCTCTAATGATGCAAATATGATGTCATCCTCAACAAAAACCATCCACTATGGATCGGAGACATTGCTGAAATTTTTGGAGAGCTCCCTATATTGCTACTTCCTTCCGTTATTATTATCATTTTCTAGTGAATGCTAGCTAGGGTTTTTCCCTTGCAACGACCTATATTCTTAAAGCTATAATAATTATATACATATTTATAGCATCATTGAGATAAGGAAGAAAAAGAAGGGAAATTACTATAATATAAACCGACCAAAGTCACCAAACCAAAAAGAAAGGATGGAGGTTTGGAGAAAAGCAGAAGAGGACAGAAAACAAGAACAGCATTCAACACAAATCTTGAAATATTGAAAGATTATAAATACAAAGTGGGACCAAATGAAGGGAATGTTTCATCCAAGAGGGTCAAGATCCATGTCAACACCCCACCACAGATGACTATTTTTTTTTTTTTTTTGGTAGACAGGACATATGCCCACTGGCCACTACTCAATTTGTTTATTCACTCATCATCCCCCCTTGAAACATGCTCCATTGGACCTCCCCACACAAAAAATATATGTACTATTTTTTTCTTCTATGGTGGAAATTGCATGTACAATTTTCAAACCATGAGAATTTCTTCACAAGTCAATGAAAAAGAGAGATGTTCATTTAGGGCACACCTCAGATTATTTTATGTACTCTTTAATCTCATAATAGAGATATTTTTTTTAATAATTTAGGGTTGAATTATTTCACCTTTCAAGTCTTCTAATTAAAAATCTGGCTCCATAACCTTGGGTTGCGCAGTCCAGATAATGATAGTGGAAATCTTAGTTGGTTTTTGTAGGAATATATGTATGATTAGTGGGTTGAACCTCAATACATTTTATTTAACTAATTAATCTGACTATGTCATATTTGTAATTTTTATATCCCAAATATATGGGTATGATTATAACCACTAATAAAAATATTATAGTCATTA